GGGGGGGGGGGGGGGGGAGAAGAAGTAGGCCTTGCTGGTCAGGGGTGCAGGCTGCCCAGCCCTTCAGAGCTGGGTCAGGCCATGACTGTGCCACCTGCCAGGGCAGGCTGCAGCCACGCTGCCCATTGGCTCTCTGGGGCTAGGGAGGGAGCAAGGGCCAGCAGCCACACTGCAAGGGAGCAGGCTGGCCAAGGGCCAGCAGCAGTCACAGTGGGGGAGGAGGAAGCCTGGGTTCTGGTGGGCAAGGCTTAGGGAGCCTGCCTCCCCAAGCCACGGGGTCACCCACTGCCCACGGTAGAAGAGGCTGAAGCTCAATCCCTGATTGGTCCGGGAACATTGCTGGCTGCTCCCGTGTTACGGAGCAAGGGAAGCACCATTTCCTGCATTCCTCACTCCGGCTGAGGAGCGCAGGGGGCTGACAAGCTGGGCACTTTGCTCTCACGCCCTCACAGGGACAGCAAGCAGCCCGGTGCGAACCTTGGGGCGGAGGGTGTGCGGCTCCAGCCCTCCCCCCGTACCTGCACACACAGTTCCCTGCCCTGAGCCCCCTCTCATCCCTAACTAGGGATGTAAAATCCCATTTCATTGGTGAATTGGTTAAACAGTGTTTAACCAGCTAACTGATTAAATGGGGATGAGCCGGGCTGCAGTAGACTTCCACCCACAGCCAGCCATGGGAGGGGGGTCGCTCCGGGATAACCAGCTAACCGTTCACATCCCTACCCACAACCCTGTTGCCTCCCCCACACACACACACCTCCTGCCTTGAATCCCTCCTCACCTCCTAACCCTGACTCCCGCATCCCCAAAGACCTAGCCCCCTGCCCCCCTTTCCTGACCCCCCCACATCCCAACACCCAGCCTTGAGCACCCCACACTCCATCCCACTTACAACAGTAGCTGTACAAAATGTATCACAATCCCCCCCACCTCCCACCCCGCTCCTGCCCAGAGTGGGTTACAATACAATAGTACCAGTAAGAAATTTAATGACTTTCACCCCTGGACTGAACCAAAATGAGCCAGAAAAATAGGATGAACCTGCAACAGAACTGCTTCTCAATACACCATACACAAGAGTAGGGCTCTGTCTTGGAACAGCTAAATTAATCCTTAAGGTTTGAAAACTAGAAGAAAATGTTACTGCAAACCACATTAATATTCTTTGTTGAAACATAACAAATTATAAATGTTTACAGGGAGGAAGAGAAACCCTACACACGATAAAATTCCCATTTTTAAAAATTCTCTTAGTCAAAAATTTTAGCAACCTTTTTTTTTTTTTAAAGAAATCCAAAACAAAGTTAACTTCATAAAAATATTTTTTATAAACAGTCATTTAAATGAAACATGTACATTTTCCGTTTAATTTAAAAATGACAACAACTGAGTAAAGGACCCAAGCAACGCCGAGTAAATGCACTGGTGTTAGATAAATAAAAATGAGCTCACATCAGTAGCCTTTGTGCTAGGCACAAAGCCAAAACAAGCAAGCTGCCTTGTCACACATGCAAGAAATCAGACTGCCAAGTACAGTACATTCAGTGGAGTTCTGGAAAAGATTTTCACAGGCAAGGACCATTTGAAATCAACAGCTAATAGCAAAGAGTTGCACATTGATAGCTAATGTTTTCAAATTGATTAACACCCTGCAGGGTACGCTGCTGCAATAGGAATAGCCTAACATCTTAGGGACAACATTGACCTAAAGTACGCAACCTCCAGCTAGGTGAATAGCTGGAGTTACATTGCCACAGGGTTTCACTGTGGGGTGGGGTCAATGAGAGAAACTCTCCAGTCAACTTTTTATACTGCTTGTTCCAGTGGAGTACTGGAGTCAATGAGAATGATTGGCAGTGAACTTAGTGGGTCTTTACTAGACCCACTAAATCAAACCCCAGGGGATCCATCGCCACAGCACTGCTCTCCTGGTAAGCGTAGACCTGCCCTACCCTGTATGCAGGTAAAGTTAATGAAATACAATTGTCATAGGATAACCTGTGTTCTGAGCGAGAGAGCACTTATCCAAAATGGCACCAATAAGAGATTTTCCACTTTTGAACAAGCCAACAGGCAACCAGCTGAAGGCTTTGGATTTTTTTTTCCAACAGTGAATAATGGCACCAAAGAGATTCCAGTTGGTGGAATACACAACTGCAAAAATATTCTCAGGTATATACAGAATACATTTTACACACACAAGTAGTTTGTGACAGTCCTAAAACAGGAACTTCAAACCGGTTCAGTTTTCAGTTGATTATACTAATTTACATGTTACCATCACCTCATTAGGATTGTTCTTCTAATACAGTACAAGGAAGGGATGCCTCTTGTGAGAGAAGGCAGCAGGGTAACTGAATCAGAACAAAAACCAACAGTGAATGGCTGTCAAAAATGACAAACTAAAAATGCCCATCGAATGGATACAAAGATCTGACATTTCCCTTTTCCTCTCCTTTTACCCAGAGTTCCATATTCTCTACCTTGAATGACCAGCCCATGTTTCCCAGGCATGTGTATGTATTTGGGAAGGGAATATATTTTTCATTAACCATGCTCTCTTTAGACTATTGCACTGAAAGGCCATCTGCCAGAACTCCCAGTGTGCCCCAAGTCAGACATAGCTTCAGTAGTAACCCTTTAATAATTGCTTTTCATTCTTCCTTACTATTATATTGCATTATCTTTCCAAAAAGTTTTTTTAAAAAAAAGAGAGATGTGTGTTGATTAAATGCAAGCCCTAAGACCATGCAAAAATGCAGTCATATCAACTGGGCCAGCAGATTGCCAGCTCTGGCTTTCAAGCATTAAATAGGAGAGATTCTGCAGCAGGATAAAAGGGAAGCAATTGCACTTTGCATCCTCAGAGTTCAGTGTAGATGGTATCTCCCCACCTTAAAGGGGTCACTAATCTGAGGTCACGGACCAGAACAAGTGATCCCATCTTGGATCCAGTCCTCCACTTTCACCTACTGCCATCAGCTACCCGTCACCTTTCCTCCACTCTCCTGGGCTGGCTACTAACAGAGATGGTCAAGGGGGAGGAATGTTGTGCACATACCTTTTCCCCAAGCCCAGCCCCTGTTCCACCCTCTTCCCCCAGAGGAACCGGGTCTTGGGGACTCCGGGGGGCCTGATGCAGGGTAACAGCAGGGGTCAGCCCCCCACACCCTCCATTCACTGAGGCTGTAGGAGCCATGGGGAAGCACAGCAACACAGCAGCCTCTGCTCCCAAGCCAGCCCAGTCACTCTGCTTCACTGCAGAGGCCACCCCAAACCATCCTAGGGATGGGCCAACTCTGCACACACTTCCCCTGGGCCATAGGGAGGGGCCGGCAGCAGCACAGAACTTGCAGCTGGAAGTCCCTCTGCTCCTGGTAGTGTTGTGGGGCTAGTGGTGAGGGGCCCCAGGGAGGACTAAGTTGCCCAAGAGAGGCAGGCGGGACTGGGGTATATGGGAGGTAGCATGTGGGGCAGCAGGTGAGGCCGGGAGATGTGGAGGGCAAAACGTGTGGAGACATTCCCCTTTGCCCCGGGCTCTGTCCTGCTAGCAGGATTTGAGGACTGGCACTGGCCCTAAGGTACACTGAGTTTGAGCCCCCCGATCTTGAGTTTCTTTGAGCTTTGCTCCCTTCGTGGATGATGCACATAGCCCCTACCATGTACAGCGGATGGTAAAGGTCTCCACCTAAGTGGTTCTGTAGCACCAGCTTCATTAACACTTCACATTTCTTGTGCTGGTTGCTATTAGCTGAAATGGATTGTTCTCTTTTCACCAGAATCCCCACTCCCACTGACAGCTACAAATGTGCCCTCAACAGTGAGAATCGTTGACAGTGTCAGATTTTCAGGCTGATGTAAGTGTTGCCTGTGAAATGCGGAGACTTACCACGTGGAATTCTAGAACACTCCAAACCATACTATGGAAACCAGGCTCTCGGAGTTTACAAAGGCAGAACGCACTCAGTCGCCACGTACACCGGAAAGTGAAAGGGTTGCAAATACCTTGTTAGCCAAAATACTCATGAAGTCCATCTAGCCTTCCAGAGTATGCCTATGTGCACAGGATATTCAGGTAGAATCTTTTTAAAAAAAACCATCATTGGGGTCCCAGTAGTTACACTCCACTAAAAGGAAAGGTTCAAGCTTTAACATTCATAATATCCTTATCTGACTATTAACGGAGTGTGTGCTTTGTAGTCACAGCACTGGGAGTGCATATAAAGCAAATTATTTCTTTCAAAGCCAAAGCCTAGTGCAATATCCTGGGACCGGCCCAGCACAGTACTGCATACAACAGTTTAGGCAACTTGAAGAGAGGACTTGCATAACGTGAAAGTCAGGATTAATAGGAAGATAGAATGTGGCAATTTAGGGAAAATTGAAAGAAATCCTTTTGCAGCCAAAAGCTGAATAAAAAATGTTGTAATTCATTTAATTTAAATGACCTTCCTAGGCAGAAGTTCTCGTGTTCATTCTAAAATTTAAAGGTTGAGGGTGGGGAAGTCACACTTCGCTCTGATTTTTTTCTTAAACCAGTAATATTCAACACTCTTTTTCCTCCCTTTCAGGTTGTTTACTGTGGGTGGGTGTCCAAAAGCCTTCGATATGGACCTAACTCTGCTCCCACCAGAACCAATGGTAAGACATCCACTAATTCGTGCTTTCATTGAAGTCAAAGTCCAGGATTATGCACTTCTGGAAATCCCACCATGTCATCTCACTGTTTCATTCCTGGCTAATGACTGTCCCTGTCCCGCTAGCATGGTTACAAAGCTCATACGGCGCTCCAGAAGAGTTCGACTGCCCGCTTCCTTAGGTCCTGCAAAAAGGTATTCAATTAATATCAGAAGCTACGAAACCAAAACCCATGAGATACCTGGCAAAAGGCAAATACCCAGATGGGAGGGACAGACGAGAGAAGTTCTGTGGCATTATTCTCATTTGCCCACAAGACATTTCCAAACATCAACAGGAAAGCTGGAAACCCTTTACGCATTGGTGAGGAATTTACAAATGATAGCTGCCAGTATCCTTTTAACTAGCACTAACAGGAACTACTTTAGGGTGAAGTCCTGCTTCTCACCATTGTTATTGAGCAACTGTGGAGTCAGAGTGATCAGTCTCTCCCCTCCCTCCCCCATCTCATGTTCTCTGGAGCAGAGGGTATAGATAAGCTAGAATGGATACCAAAGTGCTCTGAAGGGCTCTCAGTTCAGTCCTCCACAGCCACTAAAGACCTAGTGTGTTTTAAAAGGACCAGAACAAAGAAAGTTCTCCAAAGACGGGGGGGGAGGGGGGGGGGGGGTACACGTACGTACCCTTTCAATTAAAATACAGGAAAGAGCTGGGTTCCCCCCAACCCTCATCACGAGTATGGTTTATACAATTTTTTTTAAAGTATGAATGAACTTTAAAAAAGAAGCCTAAAATACATTACGGTAAGTACTTCTCTATTTTAGCCACCTTAATTGGATAAGAAAAGGACATTTTGTTTACTATACAGTTACAAATTGGAGCGTTCAAATCCATTCTAAGGAGTCCAAGTCATTTTTGCACAAAACTGCAGTCTTACATGCCTGCGATTTACTAAGCCCTCAGCTACACAGTTCCATTTCATAATATAAATACTATTATTTAAGACTGTGCAACAAAGAATGCAGAGCCCTCAGTGTTCCCACGCTTGGCCCAGGGAGAACAGAGGAATGGAAACTATGCAGCGTGTATGTAGCAGCCTTCCGATAGCTTCAGTGAACATTCAACGCTGTCGGTGAGTTTGAGAATTAGAAAAAAAAACCATCGACCGTTGATTGTACCTTGAGGTTTATCACCGACACACAGCTAACTGGAAAACTTGAACTTTCATTTCACATTTGGTTGCTATTAACATGTGAACAAAGATTAGCTGAGATCCTTAACAAGCCTTCCCATCACCATTACAAGTATTTTTTGAAAAGGATGTCTTCTGTTTTAAACATTCAGCTGTTAAAATTTCCATTTTTTTTTAGCATATTAACTGTGATTTCAACCCAAGAAAACCTGAGTGAAAGCACTGGAAAGTTTGCACATAGCCAATACAGAAGCAATAACGTGTCCACAACAGAACAGTAAAATTTGGAACTGAGATTTGCAAACGTTGCACTAAAAGAAATGCGATGCAACCTCGTTCGGAATGAAAGCCTACTTCCCACTTGAGCAGGCAATTTGAGCTTTGCTGGAAAAGCTTTGGAATGTCATTTAATTTGCTCTTGTGAACCTGCTCCCCTTAATCCTCACCAACTGCTTACCAGGAATATTACCCAAGAATACAGAATTCCACGTTACTAAACCCAGCTGTTCCCTCATCTCACTCTGTCACAGGACAACAGAGTGGGGAAGAAACCTCAGCTCCTTTCATGGGACAGTTAAATGGAAAGTCACCCCAGTGAGCTACCAGAAAGAGGGCATCCTGTCCATACCTCCTTACAATATCAAATAGTGTTGTGCTCGCAATGCACTTGGAAGAAGAGATACAGAAAGGATTATGATTAGCTTAAAGTCTCAATTTTATAAATACCATCAATCTTAAAATAAATGCAATGTGCTTAGCATTGCAGGTTCTGTCCTACAGAACTTTGCAAATGGAGATCCAACAAAAATAACCTAAATCTTTTACTGCCCCTTCCCCTCTTTTCAAAGCAAAACTGGTTTAAAACTGAAATAGGCTAGTGATTATGGAGGAACGTCTGGGGGATGTTTGTCTTTGCTTCTGACTATTCTAAATTGGTGTAAAATTCTTCTCAGCATGTGGTCAAGTAATAAGAGCATCCTCATGAAAAAATGAACCCTTATTTTTATCAGCTATGGAGCTTCAGATCATCATGGCAATAAAACAGCTCCATATTCTTTACACCTTTAAGTATGAAGTCTCAGAAAATTTGTTTTACTCCAAAATTCTGGGTAAGAAACAGAAGAACACAATTTCCATTAAAAGCATTAGGCCTTTCCCAAATATGCATCATAATTCTTCCATAAGTAAGTTAAGCATCCTGAAAGCATATTAGATATTCCCCTTTCATTTGTTTAGGAAAAAAGTGGTCCGTGGGCCTTTATCTGACAATTAAGGGCACAACTGCGCACCAAGCTTTTGCCGGTATATTAGTATCAGATGAGGTATGATTTTTATGACATTTCTATATTGTCTGCTCTAGCAAACCCCCAGTTAAATCAGCACAAGAAGTGCTTTTGCTATTATAACTCAGGGGAATGGGAATAATCTATGCCAACACAAGCCCTTTTGCCAGTATAAGGTATGTCTACATTGGACAGTCTGCAGAATAGCTATATTAGCAAGCATATCCAGTACAAACTAGGCCTGAAACTATCTTTAGCTGGGCGTGAATCTGGCCTTCTGAAATGGATAGGCTGAAAGGGTGAACTGAGATCTTGTGGAGAGTAGCTGCATTTATATATGCCAACCATCATCACCCAAGACTTTTTAGTAGTCAAAAAGTGGAGAGAGAATGGGTGGGATTTTCAAACAGTCTCAAAGGCGGTATGAGCACACATCTCTTTTCCAGTCAAATGGGATTTAAGCACCTGAATTATTCCGGTGTTTCGTAAAGTCCTACTCTATCTTCTTAAATGCAATAGAGCAAATGCTTAAGACTATTTAATTCTCAAGCCTTACGAGAATTCCAAGGCAATGCAGGTAGATGACAAAGATAGGATACAAAGATAAAATGGCTGTGCAAAACAATGTTTCTGTTAGGCACACGAGGGTAAATTACTCCATTTCGTAGAGACTTTAGAACTAGCTCAGCTATTATTCTTCTATCTTCTCCATGTACATGCACTTTACACACTATAGCAAGGAAATAAGATCACTGCTGAAATAATATGCATGTGTCCTGGAAGACTGAAGAGACAAGGTAAATGAGGCAATATATTTTATTGGACCAGTTTCTTTTGGTAGAAGGAATAAACCTTCTACCTTCATATCACTAGGGTTGCCAACTCTGACTGAAGCTATTCTGGTAGATCCCCTCCCCCCCAACATGATAATGTCACTTTTTTAAGTATCATATTGAAATTTCCAGGATTGATTTCAACAGTCACCAGGAGACTGAGGCGGATTCCAGACTCCAGGACAGTCCTGGACGATTGGTAACCCTACCCAGAACTCTTCAGGCCTGGGGAGGGTAACCAGCGTCTGAGGTAAATAAAGGCTGGGATAGTGTTGATGTTTTATGAATTCCTCCATGGCAAACAGGGGACAGGACAGTACCTGAAGAGATACTACTGTGCAGCTGAAGCATCTAATGGCTGCAATCAACATTCATTGCTGTCGGTGGGTTTTAGTTTGTATCAACTCACTGATCAATGAATGCAAACTGCGGACCAGATAGCGAAGAGTGCAGGGTTTTGTGCCAAGGGAAGATGGCTTACTGCAGGAGCAGCCAAGCTTACTGACCTTGTGAGCCACATACAAAAATCTTCAAGAGATGACTAACCCGCCCCATGAGGCGGCACCTGCTGGAGTGCGGCTCTTCTGCCCCAATGCCCCCACGGCTGCTGAACTAAAGCCTTAGACCCCTCTCTCTGCATGGCAAAAGCCTCTAGTCCCACCATCCTACCGCAGGGCAGAAGCCCCAAGCTCCCACCCCATCCAAGCTGCATGTGGCTTATGCACCACGTTGACTACCTCTCTCATCAGAAGGGATGGCTCCAGGCAGAGCTCCTCAAGCTAAGTAACAGCCCAGTACCTCTTACAATCCAAACAGCCAAATATTAATACAAATAATCCCATTTTTTGTTTTATTGTTGATCTTAGCAGCATGTCTCAACCCTTCTTGGAGCTTCTGGTGACAGAGTGATCTGGCTGGGTGTTCACAAGCTTGTTCACACTCAGCCTGGCTTGACTGGGAAAATGCCACATGGTAAAAGGCTTCACCAACCAGCCTGCGAAAATGGTGCGTACTACAACCACGTAGCTGTTCATATTACCACTGTACTTACTAAAACATGAATGACCATCCTGAATTGGACTGGAGTTCCCATTGTGCTTACTCTTCCACAGTTTTATATCAATGATAGCTAGTTTGCAGATGGGAACTGCATAGGTTTAAAACTAGGTGAAATCTAGTCACCTGGTAACATGGTAGTAAGGATGGGTTACTTGTCTTATCTACGATCTGTTAAACCGCTTGAACCTGAAGGCCCTGCAATCTTATAAAAGCATTTGTCTAAACAAGGATGAACAGACTTTCACAATCCCCTCCACACCCCACAAAAGAATCCTGAGCATTTTGTCCTTTCATGTCTTAAATGCGAGTCAAAACACACTCTTACACCAGACCCCAAAGAGCTAAACCCTTTAAAAGAAAACTGGGTGAAGACCCTGGAAAGGGCCTGTTTCTCAGGCAACAGAACAGAAAGCAGTGTTCTTTAGAAAAAGCACATACTGTAGTTTCCTTTGGCTGGAATTTCTCAAAAGCAAACCCTTTCCACGGGGACAGAAGACTACAAAGTAGGGATGTTAACATTTGCTTATTTTGGCAAATGTGTACCCGCTGACATTTTCAGTGAGTACAGGTTTACACGTGGGGGCTAGGAGTTGGCAGGCAGGAATTGCCTCAACCTCCCCACCCCTGCCTCTGATACAGAGGAAGTAAGGTGGGGGGCGGGAGGGGACGGAGGCAGCATGTAACTGAGAAAGTTAACCATTGAGCCCGGGCTCATGAGTTAACTATTTACTCATTTACATTGTCATCTCTCTACTACAAAGTACTGCTGGATTGTTACAGCAATTTCTTTTCAAAGGTTTGCAACAGAATTTAGAAGCTTTAGCTCTGAACCAGCAAAGACTTATGCACGTGATTCATCTGACACATGACTATCCTCATTGAGCTCAATGGGACTGCTCAGGTGTAAAGACAGGCACAGATGGGATTCACAAAATTGGAGTTTGAAAGGGTTTTCTTTCCCCAAGCCTCGGGAACTGGAGGGCCCTGCTCACTCAATGCAATGACTTCCATTCTGGCACCCCCATAGTACAGCTAGCAGTCCCTATTTTCAAGTACGTATCATTTGATATGAATCACTTCAGCATGATTTACAAAAGGAAAGACTGCAAGGTCTCAAGCATGTTCTCACATATTCAAAAATTTAAGTGCAAAACAAATAACTCGTAGTTTTAGAGACAGGTTTTGCTCTGGTACAATTTAAAACAGCTTTCTACAGAACATTTGGGGGAGTTTCATTAGAATATGGCTGCTCCCTTCAAATATTTCCAGTGACACTATAAGCCACATTAACCTACAATGAAACAAGGACAGCACACACACGAGTGCTTTTATTGAGGGAATTACAGGCAGTGTACAGTGACAGTTCTGCGCTACCACAGGGGGAGTACAGAAAAGGTGTGGCCCAAGTACAACGCATGCTCATCTCAACTGCCCAGATGCATTAGTAAAAATAATTTATTCAGTGGCAGGGACTAAAAGAAATCTCTCAAGCAAAGGCTAAGCAATTCAGGAGAATCACAGATGCAGTGAAATGGTGGTCCAATTCAATGGCACAATAAGCTACAAAAAAGTTAAGAATGAAGTGAGTATTCTGCAGTCTTTACATAAAAGTTTTGGATGCCTAAACCAGTATCCGGAACTGCATTCATACTAACCCAGAGGCACTGAGCCCACTGACCAGGGCAAGTAAAGTCTGCGCTACAGGGGCGGCCCGTGAACCTAGGCCAACTTGGGAGTTGCCTAGGGCGCCACTGGCCCGGGTGCCCAATGATGACGTCACAGCCATTGATGGCCGTACAGGCGGGGGAGCCGATTGCGCCTTCCACCTAGGGCGCCAGCTGCCGCAGCCGGCCTTGAACCCCTCCTGGCTACAGCTTTAGCTAAGAGCCAGTTGGAGTGGAGGCACATGGCTTTAGGCCCTAAGGTCGCAGGTTCAATCCCGCCTGCTGATGACCTGGGTCTGTCATAATTCTGAAAGCCCTGAAGGGATTTGGTAAAGAGGCAGCAAAATAAGCAAAAGACCATTTGGTCAACTAAGATAAACAGATGACTATCAAGAGCTGACAAGCCCATTGCCATAATACCATGATGCAAAAAATGTGAAAGACAGTTCAATTCTTGCCATTAGGCAACCTTACCTTGAGCACTCAGCAAATATATCCAGATGCTAGGAGGTTACACAACACAAAAATTACCTTCATACATTTTGTGCCTTAAGGAGATTTAACACCCATAAACCTAAGTAATGCTGGCAAAAAAGGATGTAATGTTGAACTAGGTTGTGAAAATCCTCTCTGATTTTCAAAAAAAAATATGCACATGCTGTTTGTCCCTAGTTTGCACATGCAGTTTGTCCCTAGTTTGCACATGCAGTTTGTCCCTAGTTTGCACATGCAGTTACTACAACTACACATGCAAAACTGTATTTGTATTTGCAAACCATCATCAAGATGCAGGCCTCACCATTTGCATAAAAAAACCCTGATTTGTCCATGCCATCCCTAAGTATATAGGTCAATTAAGCAAGAAATTGCACATGTGTTTCGAAAGCCAGGTCACAGGAGCATATGTTAAATGCTCAAGCCACCAAAATAATTACAGCAAACATACTCTCCATAACTACATCAGTATGTCAAAGCTTTTTCAACAATTCAAATCATCTCGAGGGTACACGTAGGTATAATCCCTCTGTACAATGAGGTCAAGGAGACAGAGCATCTCTGGACTTCGACCCTCTGGGTTTAGTTGGTTGCCCCTGAACCTTATTTGATTATCTGCTAAATAAACTGCCCGTTAATTGCTCAGCAATTTTAGGAATGCCCCCACAAAGTTTCCAACAAATTAAGTACATTGTCTTAAACAAGAGAAGTCTGCACTGAATTGCTGCCTCTGTTTAGAATTAGATATTTTGAATTTACACCTATGAACGCCTGTCTTTGATAAGGACTTATTGCCACCTAGTGGATTACTTATATTTATTCCTCAGACATAGCAATTACCACTAGATGGAGACTGAAGTAACTGGATTTGAAAATCCTAGCTTCGGGACTTCGAAAAGTAACAAGAGGGCAAGTTTATAAGACTGGGCACCAACTGCCTTTGGCTCTTGAAAATCCTAGTCTGCAGGACTAGGAGAATGTCTGAATATAAGTCCCTGTCTATATGAGAAGGGTTTTGCTGATCTAGGAGGGGGGGGGGAGAGGGGGGGAGAAGAGAGAAAGTTAGTGGTATAGCAGTGTTCATTCCAGATCATGTGAGTCTACAGTAAGCTTTTTGCCAGCAGAGCTATAGCAGTTAAAAAAAAAAATCATGAACATAACCAACACAGCTATGATGGCAAAAAATTTAGCATAGACTAGACCTAGAGCATTTATGGGGGGAAATCAGAGTTCTTTCTGAAAGTGGAATACCCTGCTTCTTAAGTGAACAATTTTTACATTGCAAAACTTCTACACTGAAGAGCTGTTTCATTCCACTGACAACCTCAAAACAAAAATGGAAGTTGTCAATGACCAAAAAAAAAAAAATTCATCCTGGTCACGTGGGGCAAGAGAAAGACAAGTACTTACTGCCCACAGAGTTCATGGGAAGCACAGGAGAGGAGAAACTCATCTGTTCGACATCTGCAGCTAATAAGAAAAAAAAACTTTAGGCACTTCACTTTTAAAAAATAGAAATTACAATATTTAATTGTACATATTAAAATAAATTCCTGTTTTCACTCATAGGATCATTTTTCCTCCCCTTATATTAGAGACTGTTGCATACATACTATTTTGATTGTGCTATATTTGAGAAAAATTTCTGCCTAACCCCTCCTACAGTTAACAGACTTCCAAATTACTGAAACATTATACACACGTATGCTGCGAAGTTGTGTATGCATGCATGGCATAAAAATATTTTTTTAAATATTGTAATATTAACTTTGATATTTCCATGCTTTTGAGTGCTTATTTATGCAATCTGAACATTCTCATAATGTAGGTCTTTGTGTGGAATTTCTTACATTTCATATTTTTAATTTTAAAAGTGAGAGAATATTTCACAAGATTTCCCAGTGTTGCCAACTTAAAACAACCACCTAAATTCAATAATCTCACCTATACTTTACTGCCAGCGAACGTGCATTACAGCCCCAAATATTCAGAAGTCACGAGAAACACCCCAAAAATTATGACCTGGGCTTAAAATACATTATTTTTAATATTGTAATGAGTAGGATTTTTTCATCTGCCTGTTTGTGCCTTTGGAGGGAAAATGCTAACCCTTAAACATTCGCAGGCCTCTCTGGTTCAGTTCTGAACCTTACACGTACTTGGAAATGTAGTTGGGAGACTACACTTACTCTACTAACCCCAGAATGCGGTCTCAAGTAGACATCGCTGCAATGCTCAGCTGTGCCTGATTCAGGCTTTCAAGCTTCTCTGTTTAAAGATCTAGAAGTTAGGGGTGTGAAAGGTTAACCAATTAACATCTCCCTTAACGGAGGATGCTTACCAGTTCCAATTAACCAGTAACTGGTGGGGACTATAGCTCATAACCAGCCCCACAGGGGCCGCCACAGATAGACACTGCTCTCGTCTGGAGCAGCCTCTGTCCGTGGGGAGCCTGGACGCCCCAACCCCAGCATGGGGCTCAGATCCAGCAGGGGCACAGTGGGCTGGAGGCTGTTCCAACCAGGCTGGAGCGTTCCCCCACCCAGGTTCTTCCTTTAGTCCATTAACCAGATCAACTGGAAGTCAAACTAACGTTTAACGAATACACTGGATTTTACATTCATCCCTACTAGAAATGTAGTCACTCTCATTTGAAAGGAGAGCATTGCATTACTACGGAGCTGGGGTTTTTATTAAAACACTAAGGATTACAAGACTTGCATAAAATTCTGAGGAATAACTCCTGCTCCCATGAATTTCTGGAGGCACTTAGGTGTTAAGTTTGCCCGTCTGAAAACTTAAGGATTAAGACTGCTTTGTACAACTCCTTACAAAATTCGGCCCACCCTAACCATTTCACACCATCAGTAAGCCACACTTGCATGTACAAGTGTAATGGTACACTTTGAACTTACTACAAATATTAATCAAAATGGATTTACTATGTGTGCTGTGAGAGGGAGATAGCTCAGTCATATGCAAACCAAATGTTGCCAGGATAATCAATTGTGGCTATTTCACTGCAAGTTTAACTTTATGCAGTAGAAAGTGCTGAGATAGAAGTGTTCAAAGGAAACCACAATTCTTTCATGTGGAGAAAAGTATTTCACTCTCTTTACTAACAACATACAACTAAACCAGTTTTACTCTAAGTGTGCCCCTTCCCCCCCCCCCAAAAAAAAATCCTGCCTTTGGGCTGAGGCCAAGACTGGAAAATTTCAACAAGTTATGAGCCTCTGGAAACAGGTAGAGTGAAAACAGTTATGCAACTAAGTACCATAGCAGCCGATAGCATTCTCACTATAGCAATCCCCACACTCACACACTTCTAACTTTTAGAAGTTTATTCTACATACATTACACAGCAAAGAGAAGCTACCTTAACTGCATATAGGTCATTTCATTAATTCTCACCAGTGTACCAAAAGACATTAGTTACAATTTTTATTTAAGCCATTTAATTTTATCCTCCATCTTCATTAAGAAGATTTTATGTTCCATTCCCACGTGCTATTGTTTCTAGACCTGTTAGTTAAATTCATTTATCTAGCCCAGGGTTTTACAAACTTCTACAGCCACAGAGCCCCTAGGGGGTCCTGAAAATTTGGCAGAGTCCTTAACAGATCATGATTTTTAGTTCAATAGGTACCCAAATAGACAACAGTTGGAATTCTATTTTTATTTTTTGCATATTTCTTATAAATTCTTCCCCCTCCCCCCCAAGGAAACTATCCGAAAATTAGTAACAAAATGACAGGATCGTACACAACTGTCATTAATATTTTCTTGTGGAGCCTCTGGACCCAAATCACGGAGCCCCAGGGCTCTGCCGAGCACATTTTGGGAAGCCCTGCGGTAGTAAAACAAAAGGCATTAGTCAACTGTCACACAACTGATGGACACAACGCTTTCACCCGTTTGCAAGGAATTCCTAAACTCTAGGCTCCACCAGCTTCAACGTCTCCATATTAACCTCTGAAATGGGTCAGTACTAGAAATGGCAGAAGAGGTCAAGAAGATGAGACCCAAACAGGGTCTGGAGCTCCTTCAAAAGGCTCCTTATCAGAGGAGAGATCCCCTTGACAACACTGCATAACGCAGGGGCCCGCCCCCAACATTTGATTTGCTTCTGGTGCAGCTGCTGTCTCCCTCCAGCATAAGGAAGCCCTGAGCTTGTAACAGATAAAGAATATGATGCATTTGGTAAAGGAAGCTAGACTCACCTCTCTCTCTATGCTAGACAAGAGAATCCAAGGTTAGAGATGGGGCTAATGCTCCAGACAGGTGCCCTAACTTTGGAGGCATTCACATCTAAGCAAAACCCATCTACCAGAAATAGATTCAGTTGCAACCATAGATCAGATAAAACCACCTACTTTCACCTTAGAAATCACTATCTACAGGGATTTAGAGGGGGAGACATGTTAGCCTGTAACTGCGGGGGAGGGGGACCATAAACTGTGAATAGTCTCTAAGGTGCTGCAGAACTAACAAAAATGTAGATGGAATCATGAGCTTTCATGGGCACAAGCCACTTCGGTAGCTCATGATCCCCT